TAGTAAGTAAAAGAAAGGAATACGACTTAGAACTAGCGAATCGGCTCTACGTGCAGTACGAAATGTGTCTTAGGAAAGTTTTTGAAAGCGATATCAGGAAATATCACAAAGGCGAAATTATACGCGCCAACTTCCGGACGAATCAAAGCGGTATTGCTGAGGTGCGTGTGTATTTAGTCTGCACTTTCATTCTCTTTACTTCATCAGGGCAGCAGCAACATCGCTTAATTCTCCATGAGGACAGCACATGCATTCTTCCTCAGTTCTCATAACCATGCTGAAAAAGACAAAGTCGGCACCGGGTGATGGTAGGCGTGCCGGTTTCGATATACTCATTTCACGCTGCTCAGTAAAAGTCTATTTGAAATGCTGAGACCAGCTGCAATTCGTAGTCTAAGTGTTGTAGAAATTTTTAGAAAAAAAAAAAAAACAAACAAACAGTGAATATTCTTGACAAGGAAGAGAACGGGGGTTTGAAATCCTTGCAATTTTTATGATCAGTGCTACGTCACCTGATGGGTTACTTTGACATCCGGTGCATCTTTCGAAGGAAATACTAGTTTAACGGTCCTTCAACAGAAATACTTATCAAAACCTTGGTTTGACATCACAAATTGTTGAAAATTCAAAAGTTATTGCAGGATGCAAACCAGTGGGTGAATAAGAAGACTCATGGAAAGATTTCCAACCTAATAAGTAAGGAAGAAATTTCCCCGGAAACGAAACTGATGCTGCTCAATGCACTTTATTTCAAAGCTACTTGGAGTGAAAGATTTGACAAGAGCGAGACCAAAGAAATGCCGTTTCATTCTGCTCCGCAGAAACAAATTACAGTAAAGCAAAACATTGTGACATAGTGCTTTTTCAAAAAATTTACATTTGTTGATGCGTATGGTGCACTGCTAAATGGTATTACTTTTGTGGTGGAGATCGGAGTTTGATTCCACCGGTGGTGCAGCCATTCCCTCGACAAATTTCTGACTCGTTTCGGCACTTCTACATCGCCGGAGAGTCATAACTGCAGTCAGCCCGGTTTTGGCTAACCGCGTAATGAGAAAGAATCAGCTGTTTTGCGAATGTGGGTTTGCTTTTAGCACATGCTGTCATTTGACCATTTCTTCAGCGTCTTCTTATCTTTTGAAGACAGTGAGATGTGAAAAAGGTCTTAAATTTAGCGAGACGTTTAAGCACAATAGAATGAAGTAGAAATGCTGTCGCTGTTGAGAGGCCCACGGGGAAAATTTATATACTGGAAACGTGCGCATTAACGAAATTCAATATTTTCTGACGAGTTAGTTGACTTTAAGAAGTGCGCAGCTTAATGGACTGAAACAAGCGTAGGCAAACTATTCCCTCACGTGAACCGTAGGTTTCAAACACTGATATTTTCATTACACCTCATAATTAAGTGATATCTTTCTTCCATGTAGTTGTAAAAAAAATTGTTGAAGAGGCTTGAAAAGAATAAGTATCCGACCTCAGTTCTGGCTTAAAGGAGTTTCACTGTAAATTATTCATAATTTATTCACTGTTGTTAAAGATATTAATAATTGTTCAAGACATTAACTTGGTTTTAATAATTGATGAAGATAGCAACAGCTTGATATTACCAACTCTTCAAAGTTAACTGCACATTATTAGAATTACGCTACAAATGAATAACATACAAATCGGCCCTTTAATTTCAAGTGGTAGTTCTATGCCTTGGGTGAATGGGTGGCCGCCCTAGCTGAACTCTGTCTAGGAACAGTACATCCTGTTCCGTGACACTGTAAATATGAAAGAATGCGCTAGGACAGGTGCGGAACATTCTGGCGTTTCCAGTATGCCAGACTAAAGTGGGCCTGGTATAATTGCGCCAAGAAAATGAGAGCATCCCGATAATATCATTAACCTGGCTTACCTGCACTAAATGTCTGTCTAGGCAGTCCTAATTATCTCGATAATATGACAGCTATGAAACGGTGATCATCATTATGAATCACAACTGGTGATATTTTCGTTGCTAGCAGAGATTGCGCTTTCACGTGTTTCAGGTACCAATGATGTCGCAGTCATCTTTCTTCTACTTTTTTGAAGACAGCGAAGTGAAAGTGCTTGGATTGCCTTATGAGGGCGAAGCCGTGTACATGGTCATTCTCCTACCGAAGAATCAGTTCGGTTTGGCAAACTTCGAGAAAAATTTGAATGGCAGAAAATTACTGGACTACATAAAAGTGCCGAGAATGCAACGGAACATTGATGTAAGTTTTTATGTTCGGTATGCCACCACTTTTTATGGCATATGTGAATTACTGATTAACAATGGAATGCCTTAGCTTAGAAGCGACTGAAAAGAAGACGCTCTCAGAGTATCCTCTTGAAAGTATCCAAACACATGCCTTAAAAGTACTGTGAATAGTCTTTTCGTTTCATGCACAACAGAGATCTGATCTTAGCAGTGGCGTCAGGATACATAGATTTGCATCGCTGATTTATTCGCGTCGTCGACTTCAACAGTTGCGTAGCTTCTTGAGTACACTTTGGTGAACCGTTGTCCCATTACAGCGCTTTTTCTTGCAGCTCACGCAGATGGCAACTTCTCCATTCTTCACAAAATTTCGGATTTCGCTCATTTTTGAGGTTCCATAAATTGGTTCTACTTGCACTGCACTGAAGGTCGTCCCCGTGACTGTTTAGTATCGGATTGATTCCAAGCAACCGTCTCTTTTTTTGCCTGCTTTGTTCCCCGTGCTTCTTGAATAACAGGATCAGCTGTTCATTCTTGGCCGTGCTCGACTTTGACTACATCACTTACGCTGGATCATAACACCAGCTCTGAAGTTGTGTCGCAAATTACTGTTACCTTACACGACATTTTGAAAATGGCCATCGAAATTGGATAATCGTCTTTTAACTCACAGTTTGGCAGCTAAGTTCCTCCTAGGTAAGCAAAGCATTATGTTTTTAGCTTAACACCCTTGCGACAGGTGACACAGTTATCTGAAACTCCTGGTGGTGACACAACATTTCACAAGGCTCTGAGTAATTCATAACGTATGAGCGAAATGAGCTATTTAAAGACAGCTCACGCAATATGTCTATCATATAATTTCCCAGTTTTTCAGGTTAAACTCCCTAAGTTCAAGTTGGAAAAGGAAATGGATCTGAGTAACGCGTTAAAAAGCATGGGCATGGGAACTGCATTCAGTGGCTCAGCGAATTTTTGTGGCATCACTGAACACCAGCCACTTTTTATCAATCGCATCAAGCATAAGGCCTTCACTGAGGTACAAGATCCTGTAACAGTTTTCCTAAATTGCATATGATGAAAAAAAAGCATTTAGCCGATCACCCCTTCAGGATAACAAAGGGGCGTTAGGACTGTCAGGATCACTGACTGCTTGGCGATGCAATATTAATAAAACAATCATTAAATGAAAAAGAAAGAAAATGGCATGGTTGTTTACCAGTAACTGATGAAGTAGTGACGAACTAACAGTCAAGTGCTAGCTCCATCTGCAAAACAACTAAAATTCTGTTCTTTTCCACAAACCTCATGGATCTGCCGGTCGGTTATAAGAATTTCATAATTTTCGAGTTGAAGGTGCTTGCTGCAATAAATTTTGATGTCGCGACTTTTGATAATGCTTTAGCTTTCGGCCCACAAGAGGTAAAGCATTTTCAAAATATAGCTCAGTTAAACAGTGACGCTGAACAGCAAGTAGATTTGTAAATTTTGCATCCGAGATCTCGAAATAATCTGTACTGTGGTGAACAAAAAATGAAAATTCAGATTAGGAGTCAAAATTCGAATTTTGCAATGACAGGACTTATATAACAGTAATATTGCGAAATTTTTTTATGCCACTGAAGAGGCGTATGCCAGGATTCCAAACCACCATCAGTTTGCTTAGAAGCAAGCAACCCCCGAAACTTGGAACCATCACTTGGACTACTTCTGAAAGCCACCTCCAGCATAAAGGATTATCTACAGGAAAAGCCTTTGCTTTTGACTTTCACTTAGAAAATGGAAATGTATTCTTCGAACAATTTTGAAAATAATGTGAGCAAGTTTTTTCAAAACGTCAAAAATATCAAGGCAGTCTGAAAGATCGACGCTGTGTTACTGAAATGCTTCCACGCGCCAAGAAAAACTATACCAAACCTTTCTCTACATCAAACTCTTAAATATATCTCATATCTTAGGAAGAATTTTTTAAAATTGCTTTCACAGCATTCTTTCAAAAACAGTCGAAATGCCACCGGCATATGCTATTCTTTTCCCACTGACACATCACATATGTGTATGTATATGTGCATTTACACGTATATGTATGTGTATATGTATTATATATCTATATATATACATATATATATATATATAATGCAAAATTCATACCTCATTTCTTCTGTGTTTTAGGTGAACGAAGATGGCACTGAAGCAGCGGCAGCGTCCGCTGTATACGCGTCCGACTCGGTTCCAAAACACAAATTTGTTGCCGATCATCCGTTCCTCTTCGCAATTTGCAAACATCCAGCGAAAATTTTGTTCCTTGGTCGATACGCCGGTTAAGAAGCTGTGCCAATTTCAACAGTTTCATAAACTCTGGAAAAACGACAGTTTTATGATAAATTTATGAATTTCAGC